TCTCTCTCTCTCTCTCTCTCTCTCTCTCTCTCTCTCTCTCTCTCTCTCTCTCTCTTTCCTGGATGTTTACGTAAAATTTAAAGATTTTAAACAGAGACAGACAGACAGACAGACAGAGAGAGAGAGAATGAGAGAAAGAAGGAGAGAGAAGCTGAGAAAAGGATAGAGAGAGAGAAAGAAAGAAAGAGAGTAAGCATAATGAACGGGTAAGCCTTATTTTAATCATTATGGTTAACTTCCCCTTAATAAACAGGTTGTGGCAAATCTATATATTCATAAATGGCAGCGGGTTTAAGTTGAAATATCGTAGTCAAAGTAACTGAAGAACCATAATTGCTGACTTTGGGAACACACAGACGTTTTCTTTGATGATGTGTCGAGAATTCCATTTATCTACTTATTTATCTTTTATTTGTTTACTTTTTTATTCATTCTTTTTGTCTAACTTGATGTTTGTGTTGGCAGTTGCCTTTTTCAGATGTATGGCGAGTCTTCTTCTTATTATTGTACTATTTAAGATCATCGCTCGAACAGTAGTATGTGTCGTCTGTGAATCTTTCTTAAATAAATAATGATAATAACAGTAAGAATGATACTGATAATAACAATAACAATATGGAAAATAATTTGGTAATAATGAAAATGACAAAAAAAAAACATAATAAAATAAAGATAAACATAAAAATAATGATAATGATAAAAATAATCATAATGACATTAAATATAAAAAAAATCACAATGCTATTTAAATAAAAAATAATAATCATAATACTAAATTCAACAATAATCTTAAGAATAATAGAATAACAACTGACAATAATAATCAGCTAGGACGACCAGCTCACGAGCCCATTGCAACGCCCGCTATTCAATTGGTCATCAGAAGTAAAATAATTCTTTGGTGGTAATATTCAGGGAATAATTAAACTGTTTGTTTACGTTTCCGATTTCTCTCTCTTTCTCTCTCTCTCTCTCTCTTTCTTTTCGTTTTTTTTCTTTCTTTTTTTTTTAATACTTCCCGGTAGTATTTTTTTCTGTGACGGAATGTGAACCAAAATCCCTCCGTATATTCCAGAACCACAGGTGTATAAGTATGTTTTATCTTTCATTGTTGTAGGAGCGAAAGGGGCCCCGAGTTGCTCGTTAGTGAATAAATAGAATCTTTATTCACTAACAAACCAACAAAACTAATCTCACGAAATTCCGATTTCAAATGAATAAAATGGATATATTGATAGTGTACCTCAAATTGACCTTGATCTCATAAACCTTAAACCTTATATGATAATATAATGTTTTTCACATGTATTCAGATTATTATCCTGTTTAATGATGATTCAAGTTAATTAGTTGCATAATTCTTTCCATCAACACAAGACTTCAATTCTAATGTTAGGGATGATGAATAAAACGAACTGCACCGAAAGATTCTTAGAGATGACCACTGAAGAGGGCGACATTGCACTATTTTGCCCCCTTTGCAATCTCATCCCCTGCACGCCATTACACACACACACACACACACACACACACACACACATACATACACATACACACACATAGACAGATAACTAGATAGATGTACAGCATTCACGAAAATAGTCACCGAGAACCCAATATTTTTTTATAACCTTTTAAACATGTATTGACTTAAGCAAATACAACGGTAACCATAACCACTTTTTTTTTTTTTTTTTTTTTTTTTTTTTACAAATTCGCGTGATATTCCTTTGACTTAGGAAAAAGATGCTGCAGAAAGGTGTCACATAAACGAAAATAGGTTTCAAGATATATTGTGACTTCAAAGAAATAAAAGGCGATGATGTACAAAGAATGAATATCTACACAATACGAGGTATATAACTTAACCGGTTCCGAATGTATCTCGTCAGAAATACATGTTTCTTACGAAGATATATTATATATATATATATATATATATATATATATATATATATAATATATATATATATACATTTGTATTGTGAAGAATGAAAAAATAGGAAATAGGAGCAAAAGGCATCAAAGAAATAAAAACACGGAATAGGAGAAAAAGGGGCATCAAAGAAAAAAAAAAACGGAATACAATAAAAAAAAAAAGAGTATAAAAAATAAAAACAGGATTAGACAAAAAAAAAAAAAAAAACTAGGATAGGAGAAAAGGGGCCATCAAAAAAAAAAGAAAAAAAAAAAAAAAAAACACGGAATATGAGAGAAAAGGGCATAAAAAGCATCAACGAATTTGACACAAATCAATATAAATCTGGGGATCAAGTTCCACCAAGAGTTCGCCGCTGGTGCAGGTTGCGTCATCGTCAATAAGGCTCAAAATAGTGTCGTCGGTGAGGATCCAAGCCACGTCACAGCCGCAGGTGAGAGGATTGGCTGGAAAAGAAAAAGAAGAAACACGAATGGGCAATTAGAATAGCGAAAGAAAAAAAACGGAAAAGAGGAAGAATGAAACACGAGGAGAATTAAAAAAAAAAAAAAAATTGATTCCGTTTTTTATTATGACGCAAAATCGAAGGGAAGGAGAGAAATAAAACAGAACGGAAGTAGAAAAGAAATAAAATCGTTTTTTTTTTTATTTCATTTCTTATAATTATTGTTTTGTTTCATTTTTTGTTACGTCTTTATTATTTTTACAAAGGAGGAAGTGAGAGGAGAGGGAGGAATAAGGAGGCAGAGTTGGGGGGAGGAGGAGGTCAACAAAGAGGCGATAAAGTAGGTTTAACAGAGAAGAGAGAAGGGGGAAGGCAGACGTGGAGGGGAATGGGAGAGAGAGCGAGAAAGAGAGAAAGAATGCGAGAAAGACAAACGGAGAAAAGGAGATACAAGCAGACAGACAAAAACAGAGACCGAGAAGGAGAGAGGAATAGAGAGATGGAAGGCGTAAAACAGAAAAAAATAGAAAAAAGGAATAAAAAAACACCAAATAGAACTAAAAAAAAATAAAATAGACATCACAACAACCACCATAACAACCCTTAACAACCAAACAACCCAATCATAATGATAAACTATACCTGAGAGATCGACTTCGACTTGCTCCTCCAGAAGTGGTCGTAAAGATTCCTCATCCAAGGTCGTTATACTGTTATTGTGCAAGGACACGAATCCCTCAACAACACCTGGGTATAGTGAGATGGTTACCTCCTTTTAATGATGTCACATTTACTGATATTGTTCTAAGATACAAAACCCTCAACAACACCTGGGTATAGTGAGTTAATGACCTATTAATTGTTGTTGATATGACAGTAATAACGATGATGATGGTGGTGACAATGATAAAGATGATAACAGATAATGGAAAATTATAACTATTATGATTAAGGTTATCATTATTATTATTACCACTATCATTATTATCATTATTACCACTATTATCATTAACATTATCATCACCATTATCATTTTCATTATCTATATTAACGTTATTATCAAAATTGACATATTATCATCATTATTCTTACAGTTATTGTTATTGTCGTCATTACTATTATTATTTAAATCCTTATTGTTATCATTATTATTATCGTCATTATTGTTATTATCAGTGTTATTATAATCATTACTATTATCATTATTTATTATTATCATCATCATCATCATTATCATCATTTCTATTATTATCATTATCATTACTATCAATGCTATAATCATTATTGTAATTATCATTATCATCATTTTTATTATTCTCATTACCATTATCAACTTTTTTATTGTTTTCCATTATGATTATCACCACCATCATTATCATCACCACTGTTATTATCCCATTTTCATTAATCATCATCACAATCATCATCACCACCACCAAAAATAGCAACCTAACAGCCTCCACACACTGACCTGCGATAGCATTGACCTCCAGCGAGGAAATGAGGTTGTTGTGCAGATGAACCGTGTTGTGCTGGAGCGAAGTCAGCTGGATCGCCCCGGGGTAAACAAAAAACAGCTGATTGTCGCCGAGGGAAACGAAGGCCAGTTTTGCGTAGCCGGCGAAGGTGCCTGGGTTTGGGTAGGGTGGGCGTGGTGGTTAAGTTTTGGTGGGTGGTGGTGGTGATGATGATGATGATGAGGATGGTGATGAGGAAGAGGAGAGGGAGGATGGTGATTATGAGGAGAAGGATAGTGGTGATGATGATGATGAAGAGGATGGTGATGATGAGGAAGAGGAGAAGGAGGATGGTGATGATGATGATGATGTTGGTGGTGATGAGGATGAGGATGAGGATGGTGGTGATGATGATGAGAAGGAGGATGATGGTGATGATAATAATAATATGATGTATTTCATTGTTATTAGATATTCTACATTGTTTTTCTTTATTCTAAATGAGGACATTGAGAATGAGGAATAGAAGATTTAGCAAGGATAAAGAGAAAAAAACAGCAATAACGGAGATGTTTAATTAGAGTCAAATTCCTTTTGTTTTTTCTTGTTCTGACGAAGTTTACTGGATATTCTGATATTCTTGGGGTTTAAAGGAAGGAGATGGGAAGGGAGGAAGAAGTAGAGGAAACATAAGAAAGAGAAAGAAGAAACAATAGAGGAAGTATTAAATTACATTTCGTAGGAATCTCTGTGAAAGACTATTCAACGCTGTTCTCCTATTGACTGTTATTAATATTGCCACTCGTAAAAATAATGATAATAAAAGATTAAAAAAACAAATAAATAAAGATAGAATTTATGAGCTTTAATTTATAAAAAAAAAATAATAATGTTATATAGTAAACCGATCAACTGGGGAAAATACGATATATGGAAAAAATACTGTTGTAGTCCTATGAACCGGGGAATAACTACGACATGCATTACAAAAGCGAGGATGTCAAATACCTGTGTGAATCTCCTGTATTCTGTTCCCAGTCAGGTGAACCTCGGCCACCTGCGAGACGTTCCTGAAGGCCTCACTCGGCAGGTCGCTGATGTGGTTGTATCCCAAGTCAACGTACGATAGAACATCCGACTGCAAGCACCGGGAAGTACGCTAGTCGTTGTGATTCAGGTCCAGGCGAAGCAGGGACGTGAAAAGAGGTAGTTCCTGGAAGGGAAAGTCCGACAGGTTGTTCGAGTAGATCCGAATGTCGGTGAGAGTGGCGTGGCTGTTGTTCAGCGCCCCTTCTTGGACTTCCTGCAGGACACTCCCCATGACGTAGATCTCCCTGAACGAGGTCCGGCCCAAAGCACCTCGTTGGAGAGATTTTAAGTGGGTGTTTTGCGATATGACGAGTCTCCGGAAATTGGGGAACGGGATGGTTGCAGTGAACACCCTGGCTAGTTGTTCCTCGCTCTCTACGTGTGAACAGTCCATGTCTATCGCCCCGTCGACGTCTTCAGAGCACGTGCATGGGAGGATGTCTTCAGGGATCGGGCAGGGAAGGGCACGTGCATGACGACTTTCCTGAACGCTGGGTATCTCGTCTGTGCCCAAAACCCTTCGAGCTTCACAGAAAATTAAAGGGAAAAATGCAACAGTCAAAAGCTTCTTGTAACTTAGCAT